TTTTTTTTTTTTTTTTTGCAGAACCGGGGATTGAACTCAGCCTCTTGCACTTGCCAGGGAATCATTTACTCTACTGAGCCATCTCCCTGACCCCCTTACATATATTCTTAACACTCATTTAACTTTGCTTTTGAGATAGGGTCTCGCTATGTTGTCCAGCCTGGCTTTGAACTCACTGTGTAATAATCCAGGCTGGCCTCAAATGCAAAATCCTCCTGTCTCAGTCTTTCAAGCGCTGGGTTTACAGGTATGGAGTAACATATCCAGCTTCTCACTGACCATCATCATGACATAAATAAAAACAATGTGCAACTTCTTCCAAACCAAAACACTTCACCATTATAATTTACCTTAAAAAGTTCACAAAGATCTTCACACAAATCTTGCACAAAGTTCATGTCAGAAATACATGGCAGGATCAAGTTTTTTATTTCTTCAGAAAAAGGAACTTTTGCTTGAGGAAGCCAAGCCCAGTGAAATGGATCTAATAGAAAAAAAAAAAATACTCTTTTAACTAGCGGCAGGAATGATTTATTCAGACTTCTATCCATCCTGATTCTTTCCCATAATTCCTAGGTTGTCCCAAGAAAAATGTTGGGAAGAGAAGTTTCTAGAGCACACCTCTGCAATCCATACTATTTAGATTTAAAATCCTAAGTCAGACACAAAGAACAGTAACTTCCTACTGTACTTATACTTCTGAGTTTTAGACAGTAAGAGAGTCACAATTTGATAATGGATTTATTTCAAAAGCCTAATCTCAAAATACCTAACTCAATCTGGCTCAGGTGTTTAAAAATTGATGGACAGCCAAAGTCACTCACAGCCCCAGACAGGGGCGGTCTCCTGGCCCTCTACGGCTGCAAGTCATTCACAATAGAGGCACTTTTTATAGATGTTTTAAAATTTTATATCATTAGGAATTAAATATACACCACTATGAAAGACCTAAAACTCTATGATTTGGGGTCATTCAGTTGCTAGGACTAGGCTCAAACTATCTTTCTGCCCCAACTTCCCACAGTGCTGGGATTATAGGTGCCTACCAGCACATCTCGATAACAGTGGGTTAGACACAGAGATAATTTAAAACATTTATTACATATATTTGAAACTATGAAAAAATATAAGACAGTATAACAAGCTCACACATACCAAATAACCCAATTATGAACAAATTTTTGAAAAATTTTCCTTCATTTACATTCCTTGGTTTCTATCTATACAAGTATTTCAAGGCAAAGCCTAGCTATCATCTCATTTCACCTTAGGCACAGACATGAATTTTCTTTTTGAAATTTTTAATTACAAGATAATTCTACACAAAACATTACATCTATAAATATTAAACTTACAATACTAAATTTATTAAATGGTCCATAGAAAATTTAAGCAAAATAAAAGTGCAGTGGCACATAGCTATAATCTCAAGCACTTGAGAGGCTTGGGCAGGAGGATCCCTAGGAGTTTGAAGCCAGCTTGGGCTACAAAGTAAGTTCAAGGCCAGCCTGAACTACATAGCAAGACCTGTCTCAAAAAGACAAAAAAACTCCCAAACTGGCTCGAACATAGAACCCGATCTCTAACCATGTAAGAGCCCAGCAAAGCAATTATAGAACTATAGCACTCACTAAAAGGGGTGGCAAGTGTGGGCAGGGGGGTGGGGGGGAGTCCTGAATTGCTCTGTAGGTGAACAGTTGCCAGAATATTAAAATTCAACTCTTTACCAAATTGCTAAACCCATTTCCCAAGACTAACATAAGCCCACAAATCAAAACCAAACTGGTCATCCCCAAATAAGCAAAAACACACTAAGACACACATAGAATCTCTGAATTCCTGGTGCCCAAAATTCAGCCCTAATGAACGGTTCCACTCCATCCAGTTTCCCCTGCTATTTGGGGGCCTGTTAATTTTGTCTCCTTCCTATTTTGGAAGCAATAAGAGAATCTGCAGAAAACCCTCGTACTCACATGCTCTCCACTCGTCAGGATGTTTAAAGGGGAATGCTAGACCGTTATCGATTGCAGCTATTTTAACAAGCAATTCTTTATCATCAATGCAGTTTGATTCCTAAAGAGGAGAAAAGGATCTAATTTATCAATAAACTATACAAATATTCTCAATAAATAAATTATAGTAATTATTGAGGCTTAAGGACACAGTTTCTCTCTAAAGCCCCTAAAAATTATGTTGTTAGAAAAAACACAAATTTACCCAGGAGAGAAAAACTGTATTAAAAATCAGTATGAATTTCATAAGCACTATTTGAAAAAATTTGACATGTTTTTCCAGAAATGTTTTCAATTTTTGGCCTATTAGAAGATAGTTTGAAAATATTAAAGCTTTAAAAATGTTAATTCATTGTTAGACATATTCTTTAAGTGTTTGACATTTGCAAAATATTACCAAGGTTTTAAGATAACTTAAAATTACCCTCAGTAGATCTAGTCTGGGCTGGGGAGATGGCTCAATGGAATAAGCGCTTTCCTGGCAAGTGCAAGTGCCTGAGGAGTTCAATCCCTGGTTCCACCAAAAAAAAAAAAAAAAAAAAGATCTAGTCTTTCTTGGAGTCCCATAGAAATATAGTGTTGCCAGGTGGGGTGGTACTTGTCTATAATCCCAGCACTCAGGAAGCCGAGCCAGGATGATTGCTGAGTTTGAGGCCAGCTTGGGCTATACAGTGAGTTCAAGGCCAGCCTGAACTACACAATGAGACCCTATCTCAAAAAAACCAAAACAGGCCTGGGAATGTGGCTCTGTGGTAGAGGTCTCGTCTTGCATGCACAAGGCCCTGGGTTCAATTCCTAGCATCACATTAAACAAAACAAAATGAAACAAACAAAACTGAGGATATAAGTCAGTGATGGAGCATTTGCCTAGCAGGCATGGGATCCTGGATTCCAACCTTAGCTTCACACACACACATGCACAAAAAAACCTTAGAAGCAAAAACAAACAAAAATATAAAGTATTTCTAAAGCAAACTTCCCCCAAACTTTAAGTGAAAATATATATAGTAGTAGAAGGAACCTCAAGATACTCTTGATTACAGAATATAGGCAAATCCTAACTTCTGCACTATTCCACAGAGGAGGAAGACAAAGAATACTTATTATTTAAAGTCTAAGGGGGCTAGGGAGATAGCTCAGTAGAATAAGCACTTGCCTGGCAAGCACAAGGTCCTGAGTTCAATTCCCAGTACTGGAAAAAAAAAAAAAAAAGAAAAAGAAAAAAAAAGAGGAAAAAAGAAAAAAAAAAAGTCTAAGTGGTCCAGATCAAATGCAAAAAGTTTAAAATGCAATTTTTAAGTCAGAAGTACTACCACGAAGACTATGGTGATACCTGTCAGGTTTATTTATTTCACTCAGTTTATACCAAATATTTGACCTCAACGAAAATATGCAAAACAAAGCAAAAGAATTAAGTTTTCATCAAAATCTATTGGATAGCCAGGGTTCTATCCCTGGCATTACATGCCACACCAGCCCTGCTCCCAGGGAATGCTGAGCTGGCAATGGAGTCCGGGAGTGGTGGCACGCGCCTGTAATCCCATCACTAGGGAGGTAGAAAACAGGAGGATCAGTACAAGTCTGAGCTGCACAGTGAGACCCTGCATAAGAAAAAAGAAATCTACTGGATGAAGATACATCAATAAAATAAACTTAAGAGCTATCACAAACATGTATCTTTGTGTATTTTAAAACTATTTTCTGATATAACTGCCATTTATTTTATTCCAATAAGAGTTTTAATTTTATATACAACTCTGCTGAGGTATATGTTATACAAAATCAACTTTATAACTCTGAAAAACACGGAATCTTTTCGCCAAAATTTCCTTGTGTCCCTCTGCAGCCCAACCTGCCATGGCTTTCTGTCACTAGGGGTAAATGTGCATTATCTAGATTTTCACACAAATGGGATCATATAGTATGTTCTGCATATTTTTCAGATACGGGTTTAAGGCTCAAATTACTGTGTGTATGATTTGTCCTTTTTAATTGCTAGGTATTGTGAATACATACTTTTAAATTTCCTGGATAAACACTTAAAAGTGCAAACACTTAAAATGATGCAATAGCTTTAAGTAAATAACCTCAGAACACAGAGATTATTAAGTACCAGAGAAATTATTTTAAACTTTCAAAGTAACCCAGATCAAGCTAGTCTAAAAACATGTCTTATGCGCATATCTAAAATTTGAACTTGGGTACTCAAAGCTGATGCTATGACTCTAAAATCTGTAATTCTGACAGTGTTGAGGATCTATTCAATCTGTTATATAAGTTAAAGTCTGCTTATAAGTAATACAAATATAGTTTAAGTTTTGTGGACAAGACTCACAGGTTAAACACATTTTATCAGGTAATACCCAACCATGAAATTCTGAAGGTTAATTAATTAGTAAAATACAAAAATGTCACCAAAATATATCAGAAGCTTTATCTAAAACAAAAGCAAAGTAAACTGTGAGATTCTACAAATTTCCTAAGTTTTAAGAAGTACTGGCTTGGGCTGGCACATTCTATTTTATTACAAAACAAAAGGTTATTTTAAATACAACACAAAACAGCTGTCCAGAGATGATAAAAAATTGAAACAAGAAATGCAATGAGTTGGGCATGGTGGTGTATCACATAATCCTGGCACTCAAGAGGTTGAGGCAGAGGATGGGCCAGTTCAAGGTCAGCCTGAATTACATGGCCAAAACCCTGCCCCCAAAGCAAAACAAAACAAAGTAAAACAAGAAAAAGCAAAAGGAAGGGGAGGACAGGGAGGGGAGGGACAGAGCAAGGGGGAGGAGAAGGACAGAAATGCAAGGACAGGAATGGAAAGCAAAAGAATAAGAAAAGCAGATAAAGTAGATTAAAAAGTAGATATCCATTCTAAATAAAGGAGGAAATGGTGAAGAATAGCTTTAAGAAATCTCTTTCATAAATTGAATTTATACATATTTTTTAACTTGCTTATTTTAAATTTCCTTACCTCATGATCAATTTCCTTTTCACATTTCTTTTTTTCATATTTGACTAACCAATTATCATTTCCTCTGTCTTCCAAAAGAAACAAACAATTAAAAACATATTAATTCATTTATAGCGACCTGATAGCTTAAGATCAAAGAGAGAAATCTAGTCACTTTCTGATTTTTTGAGACTTCCATTGTTTTTCTGTACTAAGTTTACCACATTAAAGGTTTCAAATGAATACAAATAAGCTAAAAATCCCATAAATGTTAGCTAACATTTATTACATTTAACATACATAAACACAATATGTACAACATTTATTATATTTGAACAGCATGTCTCTGCCAGACACTGTTGTCAGTGCCTAACAAATATTAATTCATTTAATCTTCCGAACTCCAGCAGAACTTCACCAGAGTAAGGAACAGCCTCTATCCTTACTGCTAGGCCAATTTCCAAGTAGGCACTAGAGTATTTTAGACTATATAGTAATGTAAACATGAACTGAGAACACATTAATTAAGAAGGCCAATCTGGAAAATTACAGGATATCTTCTCAGGAAGTCTAAATGAGAAAACCTCTGACCCAGTGGTTCTCATACTGGAGAGTGCATCAGGATCACCCTAGGCACTTGGAAGACACAGGCCTGGTCCCCACTTACTGCTCTGTCTCAGTGAGCACAGTGTGCATCTGGGAAGATGCTTCCATGCAAACCCACTGCTTTGGACTGTGTGTCACTGCTCCCTCACAATGCAGGGGGAATGAAAAATTAAATCACTTACAAACTACACTAACCGTCACATATGTAAAGGAAGCATTCAAAACAATTTACACAACCAAGTTTTAATTTTTATATTTTGAAGATAACATTTCTAGTATCTGGCTTAGTCCTGCTCCTAGGACAGGCGATTATCCCTGAGGGAGCAGGAACTGATTTCAAAGGCCTGAGTCTGCTCTGAGTCAAGACCCTGCCCAGGAGTCAGATCTGCAGCCATTTGCTAAGACAAATGGAGGAAGTGGCCTTCGGACTTCTGCATGAAAAATTTATGGCTTTAATCTGGATAGCAAGAATCTAGTGTGAAAGCCACGATCAGAGTGAACAAGTAGAGAATTTCAATACCTGTATTTCTGATGATGTAATCCAAAATAACTAATCTTTCAAATTGTGACTGAAACTGTTTTCTAATATTCTCAGGCAAAGGATCAGCTTCAAATTTCCTAAGCCAATATTCAGCTTCCTTGTAACCTTCAACAAATAACTGAAAGGAACCAATCTATAATTTTAAGAACTATAGTTAGAAAAGAAAGTACAAGAACAAAGGAATTAATTTTTAAATTTCACAGTACTGTCACAAAATGTTACATAAAAACAATAATAAAAACAGAAGTCAACACTAGTTTAGATAAGTCACATTTATCAAGATTATTTTGACACACTAATTTTAAATAATCACACGAAGAATACATAGCAAATGAAAAATACTCAACCACAGACTTTCAAGGAACATCACAGCTATTTTAGGATAATTACAAAAGAGAATAAACGCATGTCTTCAAGGTGACATTCATAACAAGAATGTTGCTTTCTAAAAATACTCATTAAAAGGAATTTAATTATGCAGGCCAAATTGTATATCTATCTTAGTTATTTTATAATAGCACATTTTACCTTACTGAAGAAACATTTCAGGATTCTTTTTACAACATCAAATACAGAAGAATTTAACTTAAAAATAGAATGAATTCTTTGACTATACAGACCAAAGACCTTCCAAAGAACTAATCAATTAATTATAATCTTTATTGTGTCTTTAAGAAAAGTCCCTTCTGGGCTGGCCAGATGGCTCTGCTGATTAAAGCCCCTGCTTAGGCAGATGCAGGGGCCAGGCAGGGCTGGCTCTGCCCCTGGGGCAATTGCGACTGAGCATGGTGGCTCAAGCACTTGGTAAGCAAGTATCCCAGCACTTGGGAAGCTGAAAAACAGGAAGGATCACTACAAGTCCAATCTGTGTAGTGAGATCCTACAGACCCTGTATTACATAAAGAAAAAAAAAAAGTCCCTTCTTTCAAGACATGTCCACTGATGAGTTAATAATGAACAGTGCATTAAAGATGGAAATCTAAGTTTTAACAGTAGACAACAGACAACCTGTACTGACACATGAATATACAGTACCACAAAGAAACTCCATTTTTCCCAAAACTTTATATTCTTCTTGGCATGAAACTTTTAACAATTTCCTGAAGGTTTTTAAGTACTTATAATTAAGTATTTTATTCTTCTATAGTCAACATGAATTTCAGTATATACAAGGAAGAACAGACTTTGCAAAAACTTTCCATACTTCTTGCCTACTTGGACTATAATTTTGAAAAAGTTGTATTAACCATAATTTCTACTTGAATTCTTTTATCTAGATACATGTATAACAAAAACAAAACAACAAAATCATAGGTCAGATATATTTTTGAAAAGCAAGTCCTAGAGCTTTTTCTAGAATGCCTTTCCCACTAGCCCTCTCCAACCTTGCTTAGCTTGCTATTACCCAACCCTCAGATTTATTTAAAAGTGGTAAGAAGCCTGGGAAACTTAGTGAGACTCTGTCTCAAAAAGGAAAATGGGCTGGGGATGTAGCTCTGTAGTAAAGCACCTAGCATGTTTGAGGCCCTGGGTTCAATTCCGAGTACCACCGAAGCAATCAATCAATCAATCAATCAATCAATCAATCTTATATATAGTGGTTAACACAGCTACTAGAGTTTGTTAAACCTTTACTATGTACCACATACTTGACACAGATTTCTTAAGCTAATCTTCTCCACATCTAATGAGTACTTCAGGTCATCCCCTTGTTGTAAGAACTGGGGTTCAGAATAAGGAGGATCTGCCAGGCTGGCACAGCACATGCCTGGGTCTTTTTTTTTTTTAATGCATGTAGTACAGAGGGCATAGGGCTTAGTACAGGGGACACAGGGTATCGGACTCATGGTGATCAGGTAGATCAGACTTGTAGGGACCCACCTGTTTTCAGCCTCCCAAGCGCTGGGAACCAGCACGCCCAGTCTTAATCACCGTCTCAGCGCACCCCAGGGGCAGAGCCAGCACAGCATGCTCCACCTAAACAGGCTCTTTAGTCTGCTGAGCTATTAGGCTGGCCCTCTGGGTCTTATTCTAGACCTGTACTTTCACCACGCTCTCACAACACCTTCAGCGCAGTGTCCACTTTTGGATACATTCCTGGCTCCTCCAAGTTCAGGTAGGCTTGCTTTGTATTATGTCTTACAGTACTATTGCTTAAAACCCGAGCTTCCCAAGTGCTCTTCCCTTAGTGCTCTGCCACTAAGCTCTAATCCCAGTCCTGGGCATCCTTCTGTCCCCTTAGAGCTCCCTGCTTGCGCCCTATCAACAGCTTTACAATGGTGCTGAAATTGCTTATTGTAAGCTCTTGGGTTTCTGTTCACTTCGTAGCCAGAGCTCCCAGCAGAGTGCCTCCAGGAAGGTGCTCAGACCCTCCCTGCCCAGTTGCATCCCCCAGGAAGCTCAGCAGGTGACTTACCTTGGGAGGGAGTCCTATTCGATGAAACTTTCTACCTACTTTTGGCACTTTCTCTAAGGCATACTTTTTGCCTTTTGCTTTTGCCCGGTCAATTGCACTGTAGTTAAATGTCTCACTGACGAGCCAAACCACCTAGAAACATAGTTTCAAAAAGGTTAGAATTTGCATTATATAATTTATATTCACATACATTAGCAAATTCATCTAATTCAGATGTTCATGGTGGCTCCTCTGTTAACACCATCTGACCCCACAGGAGTAAGAGTTGTTCCTTTCACTACTTTGTGGTTGTACAACAGACTCAATTTACTAGTGGTTTCTGATTCTAAAAAAAAGCAACCCAACTTGAGCGTCTATCATTCGGAAATGAAGTACTCAGATGAGCAGGCTGTGAATTAGAAGCAATACTTGATGATGAGTTCTCCTTTACCTTTGTTTTTGGTACAATGCCCAGATGAAGCTTTTCATCTACCAGGTAGGCACCGGCTTCAGAGAGGAATCCCTGGTTAGGAAGCAGGCAGCCTCTGCCAAAGCAGCAAGGGCAGCAGACCTTGTGGACATACCTGGTCCACTTTGGATTCAGCTGACCATAAGGCTCTTCGGATTTGGGCTTAAACACACCAATAATTTTCT